CTTCCATCATGCTTCTCCACCATCTCCTTGGGGTGTCCTCTGCATGGTTCAGGCTGGGCTGCAGCCACATCCTGGCTCCGGCTCACAGGAGGGGGGCAGAAAGCATGGAATGGGAGCCCCTGGTTAGGGAAAAGCACATCTCACTTCCCATCCAGTGCCACTGGGGGACTCAGTCACGTGGATAAGCTTAATTGCAAAGGAAGCTGGGAGATATAATACAGCAATTCAGCCACCTGCCCTGCAAAGGAGGCTGGGAAATGCAGTGCAGCAGGTCGGCTCCCTGCCCACCACTGTCCTATTACTACAGAAGAAGGGAACATAGATTTTTGTCGGACAATAAACAGTTTGTGCCATAGAGGTCGATAAAGAGCTTAGGTGTTGTGTACCCTATATCTATTTTTTCACGGTTGCTCTTAACATTTCTTTTTTTTTAAAAAAAAAAAATATATTTTATTGATTTTTTACAGAGAGGAAGGGAGAGGGATAGAGAGTTAGAAACATCGATGAGAGGGGAACATCGATCAGCTGCCTCCTGCACACCCCTGACTGGGGATGTGCCCGCAACCAAGGTACATGCCCTTGACTGGAATTGAACCTGGGACCCTTGAGCTTGCAGGCCGACGCTCTATCCACTGAGCCAAACCGGTTAGGGCTTAACATTTCTTAACAATTCTTTTTTTGAATAAGTAACAGATGAACAAGCTACCGCATTCTAAAGATGTAAAAAACAGAGACTAAAAAACAAGTTTCCCTTCCCCTGCCCCCCAGTTGCCCCCTGCCTCTCCCTAGAGTAACCATTAGTTCACCTGTATCCTGCAGAAATATCTGAGCACATTTATCCTTTCTCTTAAAATGCTAATGATATAATAGTGACAACTCCAGGGAAATCCTCCACAGCATGGCTGTCACAGTGAAAGATGGGACAGACACAAAGGACAAACATCGTATGATCCCACGGGTAGGGAACATCTTGAGCGATCAAATTCACAGAGACAGAGAGATGGTGGCTGCCAGGAGTTGGGTTAGGAGGACGGGGCCGGGGTGGGGGCAGGGGGGGGGGGGTTGGTACTCACTGGGTACAGAGTTCAGTTGGGAAAGATGAAGAAGTTCTGGAGATGGATGCTGGTGATGGTGTACAATAGTGTGAATGCACCTAACGCCGTCGAGCTGCCACTTTAAAGTGGCTAAAATGGTAAGTTTCACATTATGTATATTTTACCGCAATAAGAAAGATTGAAAATAGGCTAAAAGTCCACTCATAGGGCACAGTAGAATACACAATGCATTCATTCAAGGTTTCTGTTAGGAAAAATGAAGTGCTCTCTGTGCTCTGATGTGGGAAGGTCTCCACAATATTTTATTTATTTATTTTCTAAAAATAAATATATATGTGTGTATATATTTTTTTATTTATTTTTTTAATTTCAGAGAGGAAGGGAGAGGGAGAGAGAATCATTGACCAGCTACCTCCTGCACATCCCCTGCTGGGGATCGAGCCAGCAAGCCAGGCATGTACCCTGACCAGGAATCCTGTTTCATAGGTCGATGCTCAGCCACTGAGCCACGCCAGCCGGGCTCCACAGTATTTTAGATGCGCCGAGGGCAGAACGGTGTGCACTGTCGTGCTAGCGTTAGAATCAGGGGGATGTGGGGATTAAGAGCGGGGCCCCTGGAACCACACAGCTTGGGTTCAGATCTCAGTGCTTTTGTGGGAAAGTGCTCAGCAAAATAGAAAGCATGGAATGATCTATCGTGTGAGACTTACCACGGCCCATATCGGTGCCACTAGCCTGCCCAGGTCACGTGTGTGGTGGTGTCACTTCAGGGGAGGGAGGAAGGGACAGGCCTGTGAGCTCTGGGTTCCTGGCCTTGCCTGCTGACAGCCCTGCTGGACTTCTGCCTTTGCCACTAAGCCAGCACCTGCCTGACTCTCCATCGCTGCCCCTGGGTGGAGATGAAGGACAGTTCCTGAGCCTGAGGGACACGGATGTCGCCATGGGTTACCGGTGCTGCTTGGCGGGACTTCGGCGGGAGGAGCATCAGCTGCCAGGAGGCTCTGCGCCCTCAGGATGATGTCAGCCAGTTCTCTTCCTCCTCTCACGCCTCGGGCCTGGCAGTCACGCTGGCCAGACCAGACGTCATCTCCTCCAGGGCCCTGGAGAGAGGGAGGACACGAGCCTGGAGGCCAGGAGGCCTGGGTGCCCATGTCCATCCAGCCACCAGGGACCCGGGGCTGCGTTCCTTAGTCTCTGAGATGAATTACGTTGTCTGAAAAGAACCTACCCACCTCACAGGCATGTTGCAGGCATAAGACAATAGATGTGAAGTTACTTTAAAATTAATTAAGTCATTAAACATGTTGCTCATTTCAATGACTGTCCCTCTGTTTTAGGTGTTTATGGAGCATGTCCTATGGGCCGAGCAGTGTAGATATGTGTATCTCATTTAAACCTCTGTGTGAGTCAGGGTAAGCCAAGTGCTGTAACACACAGGCCCCAGAGTTCAGGGGCTTATACAGTACGGTCCATTTCTCACTCATGTCAGAGTCCAGCGCAGCTCAGGGACTTGGCGCATGACATTGTCCAGGGACCCAGCTCCTTCCCCTTCATGGTTTTACCATCTTCCAGGGCCTCACCGTCCTCCCCTGGATTCTCTGTGGGAGGCTTGGGGCCAGGCCTGGACGTGGCAAACGTCACAGGCCATCAGCCAGCACCAGGTCACGTGGGTGGCCCCCCCAACGGTGGGGGAAGCTGGGAAGTGTACGCTTAGCTGTCTGCCTGAAGGGAAGCTCAAACTGCCCAGGAGCATCCAGCCTCCGCTCCACCTTCACAAGAGCCCATTTCACTGATGGAGAAACTGAGGCATGAAGGCGATGTAATGAGCCCAGGGGCACGCCTCCAGTAAGTGATTTGAACACAGGCCTGCCTGGTTCTAACACCGGCCCTTTACACTGTCCTCTGATGTTTTAGGCCAGTGTTATCTGCCCAGGCTCTTCCTCAGAATCATGGGGAATTTTTTCCAAAGAACTGTACGAAGAAATTTTGAGGGTTTTTTTTTTTTTAATAAAATTTTAATTTTAGAATAGCTTTAGATTTTCTGTGTGGCCCGCGCTGTGGGAGATGCAGGACGGTGCTGAAAGGTTCACACCTAAAATGGCCTTGGGACTTGGGGCTGCACTTCAGGAAGGCAAAAGAGGGTCAGCCTTTTATCTTTATTTTTTTTCTTTCATCTCTGCTGTATGCTCTCACTTACCTCCTTTGGCTGACACTGATTTTGCATTTGGTTTTTCTCTCTTCAGTCCCTTCTGTTCCGCAATTATTATTTTTCAAAACTCTACTGCCTTCAATCTTCCTGGAATAGCAGACAATCAAACATGTTTGAAATGTATCTAAAATAAGAGTAATTAGGCTGTGAATTAAGGCTTGAGGACTCTGCTGTGAGTATAATGCATAAGCTTTAATATATCGATTTTATAACTTCTATTTTTGCTACCCAGTAGCCTTCTGCAACTTAATTTATGTTCCAGGCAAACAACACTGCCATGTAAAGGAAGCATAAGTGAACTGTTCTGTTACAAAACTAAACACCACTCCTGGCCGCACCTTACCTCTCACCTCCTACCCTTTTTGCTCCATTAAAAGTGCGCCGGCCCTTGGTTTGCCACAATGTAAATGTTTATTTACCGGGTGTGCTTACTTCTAACAGGCCCATTTTATCACATTTTAACATGTCTTAAATGGGATGAGTCTTTTTATTGATGGTGGTCTTGGCATTATGTCATTGTTTTCTTACTTAGCGGCACATAATAATGTCTTCGGATTAACGATGTCTTAGATTCAATGAAAGGCAGTATTTATATCATTTGAAGGAATTGACAGATTGTTCTGTTTCTCCAGCCTGTGCCACATGCTGGTGCTGGAGAGAGACAACTTTTCCACTCATTTGAAAGCAACTTTCTTCTCCTTACCGCCTTTTTATAATAACAACAATAGGAATAATAATACCTACAACAGCAAGCCGTTAAAGGGCACTTACTATGTGCCCAGTGCTGCTCCAAGAACTTGGCATCGGTTTTTTCAAAAACATTAGAGGCACAGCTATTATTCCCATTTTACAGAAGAGGAAATTGGGGCTCAGAGGTGGAAGTGGCAAACCGGGGAACCCCGGCAGTCTGCCTCGCTCGGAAAAAGTCATGTGAGGCTGCCTCTACCGATTCTGGGGACAGTTGAAGGATCTTCATTTAAATCAGGCTTTTTACCTGGCCCTACTAGGAAGCTTTAGAAAAACACTGGGAGAATTCTTAAAGCAACCTTACAGCAGCCAGGGTTGAGAACCCTTCGTTTAAATCAGCGGTTCTCAACCTCTGGGTCGCGACCCCTTTGGTGGTCGAAGGACCCTTTCACAGGGGTCGCCTAAGACCATCCTGCATATCAGATATTTACATGACGATTCATAACAGTAGCAACATCACAGTTATGAAGTAGCAACGAAAATAATTTTATGGTTGGGTCACAACAGGAGGAACTGTATTTAAAGGGCCAGAAGGTTGAGAACCACTGGTTTAAATGATCTGTGTGCGATCCCCTCGCCCTGCTGTTCTGGGGTCCCTGACGCCACACCCTCAGAGTAGCTGCCAGACCTGGGGGGACCAGTACAGTCTGATCCTCTTAAGCCCTTTGCAGCTAGATGTCTTGGTTAGAAATGTGACTTTGAGACCTTAAAGCAGTGGTTCTCAACCTTCTGGCCCTTTAAATACAGTTCCTCATGTTATGGTGACCCCCAACCATAAAATTATTTTCGTTGCTACTTCGTAACTGTAATGTTGCTACTGTTATGAATCGTCATGTAAATATCTGATATGCAGGATGGTCTTAGGCGACCCCTGTGGAAGGGTTGTTTGACCGCCAAAGGGGTCGCGACCCACAGGTTGAGAACCGCTGCCTTAAAGGGATATGTGCTTTAATTTTTTTCCCCTCCCCACCCCCCTTCCTTCCTTCTAGCTCTGGAGTGCACAGAAAATCAAGCAGGTAATCCAATTTTGGCTTCTTTTCCTCCCCTCCCCTCCCCTCCCCTCTCCTGGACCCTGCCCCCACCTGTCCCAGGGATCCTTTCGTTGTGGGCCCATCTTCTCCCCTCCGCCTAGTTCCTCGCCTTTTCCCAAAGCAAGTACCCAGGGCCTGAGTTTTTGAAGACTGATGCACCTTCCCCTGGGCCCCTACGCTCCTTCCCTGTGATGCCTTCCCCACAGTCCTCATTACAGGCCTACTGTGTGCCAGGCACAGGGGTTCAGGGGGCCCGAGAGGTAAACACAGTCCTGCCCTCCCTGTGTTCAGCTTGGAGCATTAGTTAGAGGATCTGTGCTGATTGGGGCTGTGTGTTAGCTTCCTCTTGCCCCAATGGTGGGAAAGGACTGCCTGGCCAGAAGGCAGGACATAGCCACTGGCCATCGGAGTCATCCTGGGGGGAGGGGGGGACTCTCCTTTCCCGCCTCCTTCCCTTCCTCTCCCTGTGCCCCCTCCCTCTCCCACCGTCACCGGTGCTCTGTTCCTTGCTCTTGCCAGGCTATTCTACACCCGGACACCAATGAGAAGATCTTCATGCCCTTTAGAATGTCAGGTGAGCCCCGGGTCCTCTGCTTCCGCCCAGCCAGGGCCACTTACCGTGTCACAGCTCCAGGACCCGCTAGATGTGCCGGCCTGGGGAGGGGAGGGAGCCTGTGACACGCACATGTGTTACGCACATGGCCACACTCACACCTGCATGTTAACATTGACTCAACTGGGTAAGACTCTAGCCAGGCCTCAGAATCACCTGTGGAGCTTTTTAAAAATGTGCCTTTTCTAAAAACAAAACAAAACAAAACAAAACAAGTGCCTTTTCTGCCTGAGCAGCTGGGGTGGGGTCTCCGCAGGTTACTCCCAGGTTATTGGCAGCCTCCGGGGTAACACCTGCTACAGGCGAACCTGCCTCTGAGGAGCCACACCTCCCACCTGTGCACGCGCTCTCTCCATCCAGGTCCTGCTCCCCGCTCTGCCCTTCCAGGCAGTTAATCCTCAGACTAACTCGCTGGTCTCTGAACCTGCTATTAACCTGCCCTTCAGAAAGTCCTCACTATATGTGCCCCACTGTGCGCACAGCGATGGCAAATTCCATTCTGTGCTGACCAGTGGGCAGGGGGCTGGGGCAGTAGCTGGAAGACGCCCGCCTCCGGGAAGTCCCCGCCCTGTGGCCACTAGAAGGACAGTTCTGTGTGGTGAACCTCACAGCCCAGAAAGACTTGCACACACACCGGGCTGGCGGGGTTACCCTGCCTGCAGTGCGGAGGGGTCACAGGCCTTGCCTGGAGTCAGACCCGACTCCTGGTGGATGACCCGAGGTACAGGGTGGGTGGCGCGGCTGCTGGATGCCCCCTTGGGAAGTCCTCAGCGGCTGGAGGAAGGGTCTCTACCAGTGGGTGTTCCCAGTCAGGTAGGTCAGCCAGGGTCCCCACCCCCAGAGAGCCTGACCTCATGGGGGGAGAGAATGAACAGCCACGTGACATCCTTGTGCAAACAGGGCAATTGGTGCCAGGTGACCCCCTTGCTTTGCTGTGAGGAACTCTAGCAATGGCTGTGGGTGCTCCCCAGTCCCTGCACGAGGCCCTAGCAGGCTCCCACCCTGAGCCTGGATCCTCTTGTACTTCTCCCATCAAGCTTTGGACCTCTCCCCGGAGAATGCGGGTAGGAGAGCGCTGGCTCATGTGCACGCGCAGCGACGCGCCTGCGGATGCAGCCCTTTGCTTTACATGTAGCTCAGATAGACGAGCGTGGCTGGCTGCTATCCGGCTCCCAGCTGCCATAGTTAGAGGCTGGGGACAGGCGGCTGCCCGTCGACAGCGGTGGGGACGGTGGAGGGAGCCTTGCCGTAGCCCAGGGCCATGAGCAGCGAGGAAACAGCGCCCCGGCCCGGCCGGGCTTCGCACCAGCTCTGTGCTGTGTGTGAGGGTGTCTCGCAGGGCACCGGCGACGGAAAGAGCTCTGGCTCTTAGAGGTGCACCCCTCAGGGGGGTAGGGAATGTCCTTTCTAGAAATGGTCTTGATGCCAGGGAGGGAAGGGTGCGTGCGAGAAAGAAGCTGAGGGATAGTCCAGGGCCTTTGAAGACATGGTGGTGTGTGCAGTGAGCGTGGCAGGGGCGTTGCGCCTCAGGAGGGAAATGATGGGAGGAGCCCCCAGTGTGCGCCCTGGGGCCCGCCTGCCTTCAGGAACGGGTTTGGGAGGGGAATGAGAACTGTCTGGCTGAAGGGGAACAGAGAGAGGGAGGCTGGGGGACACAGGGGTGCCCTCTGCTCTGGGGAGGACTGAGCTGGGAAAAGGTCTGGGGACTAGAGATGCCTCTCCCCTAAGGGACCTGCACCCCTTCATTGAGGCCACTGTCAAGACCAAGCCCAGAAGTCTCCTCCGATGTCTAAATTGAGAGGTCTGGGGGGCGGAGGGCGGGGTTATGAGGCCTGACTCTTCTCTCTCCTCTCACAGGTTACATTCCGTTTGGGACGCCAATTGTAAGTATGACCCTCAAAGGATTTTATTTTCCCCAAAGAATTTTTAATGTATAACTTTAGGTCATTGCTCACAACTGTTTGACTGAGTTGTTGATTGAGGCTAAAATCCTGGAAGTGAATAACTGGCTAATACAGCGCACATTTCTTTTTTATTCTCTTGGTTGTATTGTCAAACGTCTTTCGGTTAGAAGGTGCACCAGCGTAACACAGAGCACTGTTTGGGCCTTCATCCCTGCACATCTCCCGTCCTGCGTATTATCATTAAGACATGCTCATCTGGTTACAGGGACGTTCCCCCCAAATCTTGGGAAGTTGGAAAGTAAGGATGATTTCTGAAAACTAAGGTTTAACATTAACTCAGAAAGGATTCAGTCTTCATGTTGTTCAGTTTTAGATTCAGGGTTAAGTTTCCTTTTTAAATTTTTTACATTAAAATAAAACAAATATACAGAGAGGCAAAGTCATCTTAAAGGTAAACACAGCTTGATAAGTTTTCACAAAGTGAGCTCATCCAAGTAACATCACTTAGATAAAGATTCAGAGCAGCGGCCGCCAACCTTTCGGACCTCATGGACCACCAGTGGTCTGCGGCCCACCGGTTGGCGACCGCTGATTTAGAGCAACCGCAACATCTCAGAAACCTCTCCATCACGACGCCCGCACCACAGGAAACCACCTTTCTGACTGTCTTCACTATATTCTCATTTGGCCTGCTGTTGAACTTTACGGAAATGGAATCATCAGTATGTACTTTTGGGGGGGCCTTTGTTTTCTTTCACTAAAAGTTGCTTGTGAGATGTGTCCATATTGCTATATGTGGTATTAGTTTATTTTTCATTGCTGCATAATATTCTATTGTTATAACAATATTGACATTTCTTTATTCATCCTACTGTTGGTGAAAATTTGGGTTGTTTCCAATTTGGAGTTCACAACCAAACAGTGCTGCTTTGAACCTGATTGTACAAATCATATATATATATTCTCATTTATCTTTAATTACACCTAAAAGCCTAAAGAGATAAGAACTAAATGCAGTGTGTGATCCTAGAATCAGGTTTAGGGCACGGGTGTGTGTAAAATGGTATTACAGTCTCTTATAAAGTTAAACATACAGTTACAATGTGAGCCAACAATCCTAATTTTAGGTATTTACTTAAAGAGAAATGAATACACACGTTCACCCAGAGATCTATATGTGAATGTTTGTAGTAGCTTTCTTCATATTAGCCTAAAACTGGAAACAGGCAAGAATGACCAACAAATGTTAAGACCACTGGGAGAAAAGCCTGATGGGAAACAGGAGATTTACCTAGTCTCAAAGTTTCCTATATATTTCACATATATTATTCCTTCTGTGTTTAATAGTTGGTAACCTCCTGTAAATAAGAGATTTCCCTACTGCCTCCTTCTTAAAACTATCACTATGGTCTCGTGTATTTTTTTGTATCCGGGGGTAACAATTTACTTCTGCCATTATTCATTTTTATATACAAATGGAGCCAAATTTGACCAAAAGGAACTCTTTAAATAAGTTTCTCTGTTCATTTGACATGCCTTTTTAATTTTTTTTTATTTATTGTTATCAGTATTACAGATGTCCCCATCCACTGCCCCCACCCCCCGCCTTCTTATTCTTTGAGTACTTAAATACTTTATGGCACAAAATATGGCTATTCCAGACTCATCTTGTAGTTTCTGTGTCCCAGTCCTGGAATCATCCATTTCTCCAAAGAGCCCTGGTTCCTCTCAGAGGGTAATGGTACTTAGAAACCAAGGTCTGGATTCTGGGTGTGCTCACTGTTACCAGGGTGCCGTTGTTGCTAGGCCATCTGAGCAGACAGGTTTAGGAAGTGCAACTTTTAAAAAATCGTGAGTTTATACTACTTCCTCTAATTCCAATCCAGCATCTCAGAGTTCTTCCCCTCCTTCATTCCATAGTTACATCTCCCTACTCCCTGAATGAGAGGCTAACAGCAACATATTCTGATTCTCTCTTCTTTTGTAGGTACATGTAAATAAAAGACGTTCAGAATTGCTGTGTCAATACCACTCCCCAAAAATGTATAAGGAAAGCCCAGGATTTCTTTGAAGTTCTTTATGTCCATTGACTATATCCTACTGAGAGTATATAATCAGAGAACCATGTTTAAAAGTTGTTTGAATTTTTTCTTCTGTTGTGTTTATGCTATTTATTTTGTATACCATTAAGTTTATTCATTTCTATTATTAAGTTTCAGTTGTTTCCCATTCTTACTGATTTTTTTGGAAATATATAAAAGATCAACATGGCTCAAAAGTCAAAGCTATATCAAAACTCATAATAAAAGTTTCATTCCCCTCTCTATCCCTTCTACCTCCTTCCCACCCATCCTCTGGAAGTAAATAGTTTATTCTTCCCATTTCTTTTGTAAAAGTAAGTAAATTTTCTCTAGTGTTTTTTTTTCTTAATGACATCCTGGAAATCATGGTAAATCAGTTTATAGAGATCTTCCTCATTTTTTTAATAGCTGCATAGCTGTCTACTAAGTAGAAGTACCATAATTTTTTATCCAGCTAATTTTCTATATGTGGATGTTTAGGTTATTTGCAATATTTTGCCAGTATGAATAATATGAGAATGGATAACCTTGTGCATATGTTTTTTTTTGATATTGACAGTAAATTCCTGGCTTCTATGGAGGAGTAATTAAATAGACATTTCTGGCAACAGTGAGCAAGAAAAAAAGAGAGAAGGTGCAAATAAACAATATTAGGAGTAAAAAGTACAATAACTATAGATACAATAGAAGTTTAAAAGACCAGAATGCATTGAACAATCTGGAGCAATAAATTGGAAGATTTAGAAGAAATGGACACATTTCTAGGAAAGCTTAGCTTACAAACAGCCACCTAGCAGGTATAGTAAATGTCACAGTTCCTTAGGCTTTGTGTGTGTGTGTGTGTATGTGTGTGTGTGTGTGTGTTCTTTGTTTGGCTAAAGTACTTCTGAGTAATATTCACTGTGTGTGGGCAATGCACTTTGCGAATCCCTGCATATCTGGAAATGTCTTTTCCCCTCTTAAACATGAGCAATAGTTGGCCCGATGATCTTTTCTTTTGTAGGTAAACATTTCCCCTCCCCTGGGGATCCTTTGTTTTTTTTTCTCTTTATCTTTGGAGTCCAGAAATAGCCTCAGGATTTAAAAGGTTTTTCTTTGTATATTTTATAAAATTATACAAGTAATACATGAATATGTTCTTGGAATTCAAAATTACCACCAAGAATTTTTTAAGACTATTTTAAAAGTTATGCAAGTAATACATGAATATGTTCTCTCAGCTCAGAATTCAAACAATACAAAAAGAACTAGAAGTTCCTCTGACAACCCTCAACCCCAAATCTGCTCTTAGAAGTAAACTCTCTTAGAAGTTGGTCATGGACTTTTGGCTTTTTTCCTATGTATTTGCATACTAGTGGCCTGGTGCATGAAATTCCTGCATGGGGGTGGGGAGTGTCCCTGAGCCCAGCCTGCACCCTCTCCAATCTGGGACCCCTCGGGGGATATCCAACATCCCTCTCACAATCCAGGACCACTGGCTCCTAACTGCTCACCTGCCTGCCTGCCTGATCACCCCTAACTACGCTGCCTGCCAGCCTGCTCGCCCCCAACTGCTCCCCCCGATGGTCTGATCACCCCCAACTGCCCTCCCCTCCTGGCGTGATCGCCCCTAACAGCCTCTGCCTCGGCCCCATCACCATGGCTTTGTCCAGAAGGACATCCAAAAGGTCTCCTGGAAAGTCTCCCGGTCTAATTAGTATATTACCCTTTTATTAGTACAGATATATGAATCATCATTTAAACTATTATTTTTGTTTTGCATTTTTTTCTATTAAAATATAACAATATTCTTATTTATCTACAATTAGCTGATTTCATGTAGCTGTTTAGTTACTTGAAGGTCTGCTTCATTCATTCATTTATTCATTCATTCATTTGTTTTTTTCCAGCTGATAGTATTCTCTCCCCTAGTGATAGATTTAAGTTGTTTCTTATTATTTGCTAATTAGAAATAACAGTGCTGGGAAAAATCCTTGTAAAGCTCTTTTTGCATAAGTATGATGATTTCTCAAGGGCATTCTAGAAAGTGAATTTTCAGTGTAAATGGCTGTGTGTGCACATTTGAATTTTTGATAACTATTGCCAAATTTCCCTTCAGAGAGGTTAGATTTCATCAAACCTTTGTAACACGGGTATTCGTGTATTTAGTGTTTTCTTTCTTTCTTTCTTTCTTTCTTTCTTTCTTTCTTTCTTTTTTTTTTGCCAGTCTGATGGGAGAAAGGTATCATCTCATTATGGTTTTAATTGTTTTATTTCCCTGAACACCAAAAAAGGATTCTGCTTCTTTTCAATATTTATTGCCATTTATATTTCATTTTCTCTGAATTTCCTGTTCACATCCTTTGTCCATTCTTCCACTGGCTGTATTTTCCTAATTATTTGTAAAAGTTATTTTTATATTTTTGATATTTTTTTAAAAATGTATTTTATTGATTTTTTTACAGAGAGGAAGGGAGAGGGATAGAGAGTTAGAAACATCGACGAGAGAGAAACATCGATCAGCTGCCTCCTGCACATCTCCCACTGGGGATGTGCCCGCAACCCAGGTACATGCCCCCGACCGGAATCAAACCTGGGACCCTTCAGTCCGCAGGCCGATGCTCTATCCACTGAGCCAAACCGGTTTCGGCTATATTTTTGATATTAATCCCTATATATTGTGAATCTCTTCTCCCAGCTCTTTCCCCTTTACTGTCTGGTGTCTTTGTTGTAGAAAGTTTTGAATGTTGATGTTTTTAATAATTTTTTTTTCCTTGGCTTGATTCAAATCTTGTCTCTACTTCTCACCTCCATCTCTTTTATTACAGTAACTGGATTGGTGAGACTTGTGCCTAGGAATTAGCTCTTGGATGCATTTATCAATTCTTCTGTTTTTGTTTTATAATTTATTCATTTTGT